TGGTCAGCCCCTGCCTTCTCCAAGAGATCTGGCTTGTCCACCTTGGGAATATGTCCAAATCTTCAAGTGTTGGGGTGGGTGGAGGGTGTACTTTGGCACATCTCCCTGGGGAAGCTCGAACATCCTCCTAAGCTAACTGCTTGCCCAAGCTTATCCTAAGGTCTCCCTCCTGCACTCCAGNAGCTGTGGTCAGCCCCTGCCTTCTCCAAGAGATCTGGCTTGTCCACCTTGGGAATATGTCCCAATCTTCAAGTGTTGGGGTGGGTGGAGGGTGTACTTTGGCACATCTCCCTGGGGAAGCTCGTACATCCTCCTAAGCTAACTGCTTGCCCAAGCTTATCCTAAGGTCTCCCTCCTGCACTCCAGACCTTCACTTCATACTGCCTGTCAGACATCTCAGATATTCTGCAGGTATCCACAACTCACCGTTTCCCAAACTGAACCCATGCCCTCGGTGTCCATTTTGCACTTGGAGGCTCAATCAAGTTTCTCCCTCTGAAAACTTCCTGGCCCCCCTCAGTCCACATAGTGGCCCTTCCTCAGGGCTCCTACTGCTCCATGAAAACAGTCTCAGGATGGCAGCAGTTACGCTGTGTTGCAGCTGTGTTCACCTGTCCCCCCTCCTGCCTCTGAACCATAGAGGCTTATTTGTCTTTCCTTGGTGCATGACGGGCACACTGGATGTTTGCCAAATGAGCAAAAGTGAACCATCAGGTGGCTGGCCTGGCTTGGCTTCCTCTGCATGTGGATTGAGGTTCTCCTTCAGCAAGTGCTCATAGTTCCGTTATAATTGGAGAAGCACCAATCATTCCTGGCATTTCTGAGAATTTCCTGCAAGTCTGAAGTATGATGTAATTAATATTCTGTGAGGTGACTTCACTGTTGGAGTTTAAAAGGGTCTGAAAAGATGGTCATGATTGCAATTAAACTTGGCCCCACTAGGTGTTGCTGTTGCCACCAACCAAAGATGGATGCAGTTTGTTTAGTCCCGTCCTTTGCCCTTGGGGTCATTTGGTCCATCTTTCTTTTGACCTCCTTGCCCCGTTCCCTACACATTCATAGTTTGGAATCTCTAAGTATAGAGTTTGGTTTAACTTCTAGGTGGCAAGTCTTGGGAAAGGCATGGAAATTTTCCGTTCTTCTCTGGCCACAACCTTGCTGTTCACATGGGTTTGCTCTAGCCACATGGAGAACAGCTGGTCGTCTCATAGTGTGTGAAACTCCACTTAAAGTCATATTTCCTCTAAAGAAATGGACAGAATAAACCCCTTGCCCTTTCTTCCTAGGCTTCCTTTCCAGGTTCTTAATTGCCCATCACTGTGCTCCTCTGAAGCTTCATCCCAGGCCCGCCACACAGTCCTCATCATGGAGACTGCAGGTGTGGACAGTCGGGCAGCTGCTGGGCAGGAGGGCACTGAGGGGAGGGCCAGGAAGCCTGAGGCCTGCTCTGGCCCTCTTATCGTTTGGCTGCCTAAACTACTTCTCATTCTCTCTCTTTTTTTTTTTTTCCTTTTTGTCTTTTTTCGTGACTGGCAACGGATCGCAACCCTCA